GATGTAGAACACACCGAGGAATTAGAGGGATTAAGTTATTATCTTTCCCAACTGTGTAGCTTAGTGTGTTCAATCTGTTAATTGTGTAGGGTTGGCGACTGGGGAGACACGCTCTAGCATACTGTAGCCCAGAACTCTGTGAGTAACGTTTGTGTAAAGATATGTTCGCAAATGATTCTCTTCTGAACAACTGAACTGTACTTTTTTCTGAACTGATTACTGTTAACTGAATGAATGGATGTCCTATATTCTGAACTGTATTGTGGCATCCTTAGCACCTACTGTTTACTGTTACTGTTACAGAGATCTCTATCGGTTCCCTTGTTGGAACCACTACTGTTTACTGATTGATGGCCATCATTACTGCTCGGTCTTTTAAGACCTACTGTTTACTGTACTATTATGCTAATGGGTGTATCACATATGACTGTACTGACTGAATGACTGAAATACTGTTTAAATGAACTGTTTTCAAACTGTAAGGACATTTATTCCTAACCCCTTTACGCATTATGTTATTCACTGGGCTTTAGCTCATTGCTTATATATATATGTAGGTGTACAGGCACCAGACCGCGGCTAGGAGCGTCAGGGTTACTCCAGTTTTGTCAAGCCAACTATCGTGCCTCACTGCAAGGTTCCAAGCCTATCATGCTAAGGCTTAGGGGTGTTTTAGGACTCCCCCTTCTGTACTGTCTTGCTGTTCTGTAATAACTGAATGGATTGTATAAACTGAATGTTTACTGTATTGTTCCATAGGGATTGAGTCCCTATTCTGAATGATTGTACATATTGTGTATACTGTTCTGTACTGTATATATATATATATATATATGTATGAAAGTCTTTTTGCATACAGACTGTCACAGCTCATTGGGCATTGTTTCTTCACTGTATTGGCTTCTGCCAAGCCCTGTACTCTGTTTTACTGTACTACTGTTAAGCAGGCCTTCGATAATCTCGGATTACTGGCCGGTTACGGTGCTAAACCCATAAGGCCGGGTTTGGGTCGTGACAATTTATTTGGTAGAATTGTTAGATTGAAGATTTAAGTTGCTGAGTAGTATTTGATAAATAAGTTGTGAAATAACTTTTTGATGTATAAATATCCTTTTTACCCCCGTTATTTATAAATTAAATTAACTTTTCTTAATTGTAAATTAAATTAATTTTTATTTTTTGTTATTAACTAATAGTCTACATTTCCTATAAAAAAAATTAAATAAAAAAAAACTAATCCAAAGTCTATTTAGGTCTTTTTCTATTAAAAAAAAATCTAAAAGCATAATCATGAATAAGTTGCTTTAATTAGAAGTTGATAATGAATGAACATCTCATCAGAATTAGTTTTTTTGAATTAAAATAAATTATTAGAATCAAAAGATATTTGAAATAAATTTAACCAAACAATTCAAAATAATTTTTCGCTAAAAAAGCTACACCAAACACCCCCACTAAGAGCGTCTCCAATATTTACATTTTTTTTCATCAAATTTGAATAAAAAATTCATCTAATGTCAAGCGTTTTAAATGAGAATCTTTATTTTTCATCAAATCACCGGTCAACCGAAAGGATATCCAACCGATCAACTGATTAGTATAAATTTACTAGAAGTATAAAGTAAGGAACGAATCAGTTGTCTAGTGTATTGTCCCTATGACTATCTATAATGATTTGATAAAATACTCCAAACATATTAATTAGGTTCTTAATATGATACTTTCTTAACCTATATATACAGGCCTTCTATTGTATAAAATACATTCAATATAATTCATTCAATATAATATATATTATTTTCTCTCTCTCTACTATTCTAACAGAAGTAATAAGAGATCGTTTGGCAATAATTTTTTTAGTTGGTTTTTTAGTTTTTTTTTCACTCTTTTAACTTAGGACTTTTTGGTTTATTTGATTTTCTTATTTGGATTTTTTAACTCTTTGACTTTGGAATGACAATTTTTATTATTATTTTGTGATTTTTGCCTTTTTGTGATTTTTATATTCTTTTGTGATTTTTTAACCAAGGGAGAAAACCAAACGAGCACTTGTCTAAACTTTTTTTTTTTATCAAATTTAAATTTGATAAAAAGAAAGAGTAAAAGTTGAACACGCTCTGCTGTCCCAAATTTTGGAGGATACGGATGCGCTGGTTCCTTCTATGTCCCAGGTTATCTCTCGATGTAGGGAAGCAAGAACTCTGTAATGAGTTTCAGGTAGAGACCAATAAACATTTTGCAATTTTATACACACACACACACACACATATATATATATATATATATATATTGATTCGTTTAGCAATATTTTTTTATTAGAAATTATTATATTTGATTGATTATAATCTTGTCATCGTATTTGGCAAAATTCCCTTAGAAACCCTAATTCTCAGTATGTCTCTTCAGCCCTGGTCGTTTACTTTCCGCTTGTAACTGCCAAAAAAACATAGAAAAAGAGGGGAGGGAGGGGGAAGCACAGACTTGGTACCAAATTAAAAATGGATAAATTTTAAAGATCTCCATGAGGTTTGGAAAAAATACAGTAAATTTCACAAATTTGGTATATTTAATTACACTATGTTTCCTTAAAATTTTAATTCATATAGTTCTTGGCTGCCTTTTATCATAAATTTGTTAGTTGTATGAATAAAAAAATGACTTGTCATTTCTTTTACATTGAAATATATGTTTTACGTTCTATATTTTTGTGTTTTCATATTGTCTGTATTAGTTTCGGTCCCTTTAATCTTAATAAAAAGAGAGGTTAATGTAATTATGTCAAAACTGGGATTTGTTGTATTTTCTCCAAACTTCAAGGGAGGTCAGTGTAATTTAACCTAAAAAATTGTTCTCAACCCTTGTGACAGGACAAGGGTAATATCTAAGGGCTCATTTGGGTCAGTTTAAAAGTAGACTTTTTAATGAGCTTTTTCAATTAACATTTTTTTGAACTCTTTAATAGCACTTTTAAAGTTGCAAAAAAAATAATAAATAAAATAAATAAAAGAAAGGATTAATACAGCGAGTAAAAAGTTGGCTCCAAACGAGCCCTGAAAAAGTGAAGCATGTGTTTGCATTTATAAATTAAGGTATTCTTGGTGGTTCTTCTGCGGTTGCAGGATTCTTTATTTTACATTAAGACTGCAAACGAAACGAAGTTGTTCATGAATTGCCCAAGCTCGACTCATATAAAACTCGTTAGAGCTTGGTTCATTTGCTAAATGAATGAAAACAAGTGGGTTATGGTTCTGTAGTGGACATGGTATCACAAATTTCAGGTCACATATTATGCTTTTGTGGTTCAGAGTGAAATTTGCTGGCATCTGCCTCTCATTCATCTAGTTTTAGATATTGGTACATAGACAGATATGTATGAAATGCTTATGACTTTTCTTGGCATTCTTGTTGTGCTTGCTGACCTCACAATCTCCAGTTCTTGTTATGTGTTATTAAGAACCAAACCCGGTCTTCTTGGAAAATCATAGTTTCTTTCTTCCACCAATACATCTTGTCCCTCCACTGACCCTACTGTCTCATATTTAATTTAAACCCCTAACATATTTTATATATTATGACATGTTCAGTACTCTCTATTCCAAAAATTATTTATTTATTTGTTCTAATTCAGTCACACTCGTTGAATCATATAAGAATCTCAAGGTATGAGAATTTCAAAATATGATGTCTGTGAATAAATTGGGACAGAAGGAAAAAAGAGGATTTCTAGCCATGAAGACAGGTGTGCACATGCGACAAATATCTCAATAGGTCAAAGTGGGTGAATTAGTGTATCACTCTCTCAATGTGACAGAAAAGACAGCACAAGAACCTGAACTTGGTCACTTGTAGCAATGCGAGAAGTGGGAGGCACTCTAGGTCCACCATTGCCCACCCTAAAGCCCTACATTGAATCTTCAGTCAAAGCACTTTTCCAAATATGAGCTAATTGGATTTGCAATTCAGGTAAACTTGGAGAGTAGGTGTCAACCCAGTCCAAGTTTCAATAAAGATAGCTAAGAAACTTTCCGAGTATTTATTCCAAAGTAAATTACATTGAGTAACCTCTCTTGAGATTTGGAGAAAAAACATTGAGGCTTACAAGTTTGGCATAATTACATTGGCCTCCTTTAATGGTTGAATTCACACAATACAGCTCCATTTTCCTTAATAATGCATTAGTTTTATAGATGAGAAAATGATGCTATCATCTTTTTAAAACTGAAATTTGTATTTTACACCATCTACATTAGTTCTGATCCCTTTAGGCTTATTAGATGAGAGTCGGTGTAATTATGCCAAAGTTGAGGAGCTTATTGTAATTTTTTAATGCTCCAGTATAGTCAGTTTTATTTACCCTAATTCTAATGACACGGGATTTTCTGACTCCAAAAGTTCTATTTTTCTGTCTGTAATATACTACCAGACACATATTGTGATACTTTGTCACATTTATGTAGTTGGGAATACAATAGGGACAAGAATTATGAATTTTGGGATGGAAGATCCTTGGCCCACTCTAATTCATACTTGTGGACTACCGGAACTTGGCTTTTTGCTTTCAGAATCGATCATAGCCTAGCCATGCCCAGATGATGAACCTCAATTTTTATGATTCTTTTGAATCTTTTCCAGCACACTGAAGTTTGGCTGCTGCCACTATGGTCAATCAGTCTGATTGAACCTCAATTAGTTGAAACAATAATCACTTGTCATTTCTATAATATAGATCAATTCTCATAATTTTTGTAGTTCTAGCTTGTCCAAATCAAGCATACTGAAGTTTTCTCTGTACTTGCCCAAAAAAGTTTTCTTTGGCACCATGATCAATCAGTCTTAATATGTGATTTAAATGCCCTTGAGTTGACACCACCATTTCAAAGTTTCCTATTTGAGCTATAAATTCCACACATAATCTATGTTCATTCGTCACACTGCCATATTTGAAGTTCCCCAACAAGCTAGCTAACAAAATCAATGACTAATCTATCAAACATCAGCCATTACATTCTGTCCGCAGTTTTGAAATTGGCTTTTGCAACAATATTACTACATGGAAAAAATGCTAAATTTTATTAGAAAAGAAAACATTTTTGAGGCAGTCATTACCATTCAGATTGAATCTGTTTTGTTTATTTTTAAGGCCTGAATGCATTTACAAAATCAATTATGTTGTTTAGGAAGTTATTGTCATCCTGTGATTACTACTCTTATTGGTCCAGGACCACACCATCATGATGTCAGTGTGGTTGAGTTTGTGCTCCAGGACTACTGGATTATTAATCTCGATTGAGAATTCCTGTACAAATTATACAGAAATTTCTAAGCTGCACGCCGAAGCCTAAGATTTTGTGGTGTAGTAATCAACAAATTTGTTTATAAACAAATGAGAAGGCTATATCCGTCAAAGTATCAATAGAACTAAAGATTTGCTTGAAAGTATATACCTCCTTCCATATACTACTGAATTTTATTAATTTTTTTGGACAAGTTCCTTGGATGTTAGCTGGAACAACTTGTACTGTGCTTTTGGGTTGTTTTGCCTGCATGATTTACATAAAGAAATGTGAGAACATTTGGTATCATTATATGTTTGGTATTAGAGCATCAACTATTTAAATAAGCAAGTGAAGGGGTATTCAAGATCTTCACATAGTTTGTAGCATGGTTGCTTAAATGCTGGATCTTCAGTTGTTGCAGGTGGATCCTGACCAAATATCATCTCACAACTCATATCATCAAAATCTACAAACCAAAAATTGCATTAAAGTCATATGAACTATAAGATTCACTTTATTTAAGCTATATTACAGATTGTAGAATGTAATTTAACTGCTATTTGCAGTGTAACAGCTGCTTGTGACATGGGAACGTGGTGTGTAGGTGACTTTTTAGGCTAGGAGTACACAAGGTCTCCGCCTCCCTAAAAATTACTAAACCCCTATTGGGTAATCTTCGTCATGTGAATACGAATATTCTTTTCTCTTATTAAAAAAGTTTGTTTTCATGCACTCAACATTATATAAACATGAAGAGGGCATTGGGAAGATGATAGGGTTCATGGGAAACAAAGGAAGTTGATGCCTCTCATTTACCGGCATGGTGGAATACACAACACTTACGAGATTTTACTCCATTTGTTAGAATTCTCACTTGAGTTTTAATGGATCTATTTGCAGTGCTTCACACCCTTAGTGGTTTATGCCTGGGACCCTCCACTAATTAAGATGATGGGCAAGCTAGGCCTCCAATCTTTAGTGCAGGTACTGTTATTCTTACTAGTATGATTCTTTTTCCTTACTTTTCTTTATTACATTTGGACACAGTATAATTACTTTGAGAGGAAAAGTATGAAGAATTGTGCATTGTGGACCTTTTTCAGAATTACAAAACATGCAACTTTTAAAATATTTGTCTTGATTTCCACAATCAAAGTATTATGTTCATTTTGATGAATTGAAATGCAATCTATTAAGAACATCTGAGTAATGTCATGTTGTTCTGTTTTTGTTTTAGAACTTTAGGCCATGAAATGGATGAACTAGTTGTACATGATTCGGTGAATGAGAATATGGATAGGTTGCATGATTTTGTGAACCAGTTGTACATGCTAGAATTCTCATTTGTTTTTGTTCCTATTGTGGAAAAGTAACACTACAAACGCATTAATTTTTAACACAAAAGTGGGCATAATGTTTGCATTCAACATGGTACATTACAGTGCACTTTCCTGATATCTATGCCCCCAGCCGTTGTTAGTGATCATGAAATACTTACTAGGGACCATGTTGACCGGCATACCCAAGGAGTCCTTAATGAACGTTTGAGAGGGCATCTTGCATAGGTTGATGCACATTCCAACACAATTGGTCTCCTCTAGAAACCTACAAAATTTGCGGGAACAATATAAAAGGGTGACGACAAAGGCAATGCTAGTGATGATTTTAATATTGAGAGACGACAACAATCGATGACCGTGATGATGCTGCCGGGAGGGAAATAAGAGTCCCGGACAAGCACAATCATTGGAGCATATTGTTCTTGCAACTGGTTCACTTTTATTTTTTTATTTTTTTATTTTAATTGGGCTTGGAGTTAGGTTAGGCTGGTAGGTTCCCATTGAGCAGTATATATTATGTCTCATTAAATTTGGAAGGGAATGAAAAAGGTACCTGCACTTTTGGATGTGGACTACATTCCTTTCTCTTCGTCCGTTGAGCTCCGACACCCTCACCTAGGCCCCAAAAAAATAAAAAATTCTATAAATAAATAAATCACACCCACTAGATTTTGACGGTTGACTTCATTGAAATATCTTGTTGAGCATTTGGGTGAAAATGGTGTGTGTGATGATGATAATTTCTTGATTAGTATTACAGAGCTACTATTAACCCAATATAAGATTTGTCACTAGAATGATATAGCAAGGACATTTATGTAATTAAATGTCACTTTAATGAGCACTCTGTTTTAAAATAATCAGTCCTCATGCATCTATATCGTTCTGTATATATATATTTTTTCTGTATATCATTATTCCATGTCTATATACCGTTGTGTTGTGTGCGATGAACATTTATGTTTCGATGCCAATATTAGGAAAAGCTTAGGTATATTTTCATGCTTGCTAGTGATACTTAAGATCAAATCATATTGTTATCTTTCGTACTCGTATGTGCTTGTTTTAAAGCCGACACCACTCGTATTAGCGTCACTATATGACACGTTATTATTGATCATTCACACCTAAAGAATTGTATTAAAATTTCTTCTTGCATTATATATGTTCAATTTATGAAGGCTATCATGCGAAGCTATGGTAGTTTTATGCTAAAAACTCTTCTAAAAATGGAATTGATAAAGTCTATGATGCATAAGACTGGTTTCAATTAAAAAATAAAAATAAAATCTACAAAACTGAGTAAATATGTTGTTAGGCTTACCTCGTTGGCTCCAACTAACCAAGTGAAAAACAAAGTTGTGAAAACTGCAAAATATTCCCTTGCAAATTTAGAATTTGGTAGCAATGTCCTGATCTGCCATGGTCTCCCCCATCATTAGTTGTACAAATTAATTCAGTTACACACGCACACACATACACAAATGCATATACAATTTAAGAATCTAGAGGGAGAGAGAGAGATTGGCAGAGGCACTTTATGCATTTATTCATTAAGTTTCTCCCATTTAATTGCTTTTTTTCTCATTATAATTACAAGTAATATTTGAGTTGTCGAAAACAAATTGCATTACATGCACATATATACATATATGTATAGTATATAAGTAATAGGGAGATTATTAGTTTTAAAAAAAAAATTAAATAAATAAATAAGTTCACTCCGTTTACTGACATTCAGTTGTGAGAGGAGTTGTGGGTCTCACTCTTTTTAAACTAAAAATAAAAACAAAATTTTCCGTCAAGAAGACGTATCAATAACAACTTTTGTTTTTATTCTTGCATTTTTTTCATGTTTGATTCTGAATAATCTTCTTCAATATCTTTTTGTTTGGCTGAGAGAACAAATACAAGAGTTCTTTTGTTTTGTGAATTTGATCTAAGATCTCTTTGGCATGATTCTTTTTCTTTTTCATTTTTTTTAAAAAAAGGGATATAGTTTAATTTTTCCCGTACAAAATTTCGTAGATACCTTCTTTTCGTTCTTTTTCTTTTAAAAAAAAAAAAAAAAGTTGTATGACATTTATTTTACAACACGAGTAAGGAAAGACAACAATCCGGTGTGTGAACCATGAATTTTGTAGTTAAAACAAAATTTAAAACCAATTTTTGACCGTGTCATTCTATACAAAATTGTTGTTTCTTTCTCCATATACTTATGATTAAAATGTCTTCATAGCAAGTAATTCATTCTCTGAATTCAACTAGGTATACAAAGAATGGGATTACAAAATTTATACATTTTATTTTTTTCACATGTATGTGAATCTTATTGTCTGTGTATTTATTTAGAATTTTTCTCTTTCACTTAATTTTTTTTATTAATTATTAATTGTATTTGATTTTCATTATAAATTTATTGATTTCAATGTAATAATACCATACATTAATAATAAATAAATAAATAATATGAATATAATATATAATTATAATTATACTTATAATAATGAAAAAGATTCATTTTAACATTGGGTGTAATGGTTTTACCATTTATGAACATTTTAATGTAATATTGATTGCAACTACAAATGATGAGATGAAATGATAAAAATTGATACAAAAATGCTAGAGGTCCTAAAAATTCTACCAAAAATTTTACCAAATGTCTCACATGGTGTGGGACCCACATGGGACCCACATTGTGTGGGTCCCACACCCATGTGAGACATTTGATAAAATTTTTGGTAGAATATTTGGGATCTCTAGTATTACTCAAATTGATAATCACTGGAGCTTTACTCTTTACCCCAAAAAAATCACATTAATGTTTGGATCCCACTTATCATTAAAAGAAATTAACTACAATAAATAATGACTTGCCATGGACAGGATGGGACTAGGGAAGGCCTTGTCGAGTGCTTTAATGACTAACTCACGTTGTCGTATGAGATTGAATTTACGCGACGCCATCGTTGCTGCCTCCACCAAACTCTCATATCCACTCTTATCATTTCTTATCCCTGCAAATATCAATCAATGTTGTTGTATATACCGACAAACACACCCATGCATATCTATACATATACAAACAAATGACAAAGTTCAGAGCAAATATACTCGCGGTGGATGCAAACGTGAAGCATTTGTAATTGTACATATGAACTTTTGGGCGATTTAACAAATGCAGATTGAATTAAAAATATGTTTAGCAATTATTAGATGTGAAGTTTTTAACACTTAACAATTTTAGAGGTATTTTGGGTATAAAAATAAATGCGATAAAACTTCCAAATTTTGTATTTTTATTTCGGCGGGGGCTGTTTAGGTCTTGAAATCCATCAGGTTTTGTTTTGATAATTTGAATCGTTTATTTTGTTAGACAATTTATATATTTTATTCATAAAAAAATTAGATTGATCAGACAATTGTAACTTGTCCAATTTATCGTGTTTTTCACTAAATAAATGAAAGATAATAAAGATAATATTTTTTTATGATAAAAAAATAAATTGAACGAATTGTAGTTATTGGATCAATTTTATTTTTATTTTTTTTTATAAATGAAATACACGAAATACTTGACAAAATGAATCGTTGAGATTATTAAAGATTTCACTGACTCAAACAGCCCCTTTCAGTCTAAATTTTGGACGGGAGGTCCTCCTTTTATTTTTTTTTTATTTTTTTATAATAGATACAAAATTCATCATCCACTGGACGATCGTGTAGTCGAGAGAAGACCACCTCGTTTGTTTGTGTATGCATATATTTATTTATTATCTTTTCGTTTTCACAAAATCACAACAATAAGATTTAAATTCAAGCATCACGATAACAAACGATATACATATATATGTGTATGATAGGTATATGTATGTACTGTTTGAGATGGAGGAATGGAAATGAAGGGGGGGAGAGAGAGAGAGAGAGAACCTGTAGTGGATTGAACGCTCCGGGAGAGATGGTTAATGGCGATACGATCGAACCAAGAATCCCTATAAACAGTAGTAGTAGTAGCAGCAGCAGTAGAATTGGAGCTTGAAACTTGATTTAGATCATCTGATTGCGGTGTAGTCGTAATAGTCGGTTTTGTGAGGACGGAAAGAATAGAACAAGGGCGGCTGTGTTTCGCCAGGCGGCCGTGAATGTGTTGTTTCCGGCGACCCCGACTTGCGAAAGGCCCACTGTTTTGCAAAACTAGCGTTGCTTCCATATGTAGAGAGAGAGAGAGAGAGAGAGAGAGAGAGAGAGAGAGTGTGTGTGTGTGTGTTTGGATGGGTCTATGGTCTAAATTCAAGTATGTTTTAAAGTTTTGAAGGCCAGCCTATATCTATATATATATGGACATATATAGAGAGATAGTATAAATTTGTTTTGTTCACACCCTCAAATAGTGTGTATACAATGTATACGCCTGATTTGGTACTACGTAGGTATCTCCAATGGTGTATTAATTTTTTATTAAATTTGAGTAATAATTTGAGAAAAAATATTCTTTGATATCAAGTGTTTCAACGGAAGATTTTGTAATTTCGTCAAACCACTGGTCGATTGGACGAACGACCAACAGATGTCCGGCCAGTCAACTGGCCCATGCAAAATTTTTACAATTTTTCTTCTTGAGTTGGTCATCCAAGGAGTCGATCGACCAGTGTAATTTTTTCAAAAATTTTTATCTTGAGGTGATCATCCGGAAGGACATTGGGGAGACATTCAGTGGTAAATATTCAACGTCAATGAACAGTAATTTGATGAAAGGTATATTGGTCTTCAGTTTAATGAAAGAAAAGTGAAATCTTATATTTGATACCGATTTGATGAAACCGTTGGAGTTGAAAAATGAATCATTTTTCATAAATTTAAATTTGATGATAAATTTGATACATGGTTGGAGATGATCTTATAAGTCAATTTATTTATTCTATTTACTTAAAAAAAAAGTTAATTAATAGTATTTTATTGTAATTTAAATCATAACTTATTTGGGTTTTTTTTTAAAACTTATTTGGCCAAACTAATTAAGATTTTCTTTAATTCATAGGTTTTTTAATTTATTTGAAAGCTTTCAATGTGTTTGTACAAAAATCTTATATATTTTTTTTGTTTATAATTATAAATTTTAATTATATTCTGAATATTTTTACAACAAAAAAGTAATGTAACAACTTTTTAATTCTTTTAAGTTAATAATTTACAATTTTATAATTACAAAAATTATTTTATAATTGATAGGGAGGGCTAAAGATTGTGTTCACAATATAAATATTTTGATTGGTGTAAAATAATAAGTCTACCATTCTAGACGGAGTTATTACATTTTTTTTTTTTATATAAGATCTATATATTTGAGTCAATCATATCATGTGTATTGTTTGTACACTTAAAAAATGTGTGAATAAATTTATTTTTGCACTCAAATGTACTCACAAAAAATGGTGTGTCTTAGATTCAACTTGTATATAAAAAATAAATCAAAATACATGAAAAAATTTCATTGAATGAGACACAAGTGAGACAAAAAATGAGTGGCACGTAGGGTGGATCTTGTACATAGAGGTAGAATCCATCTTTTACTTCACATTTGTGTTACCAAATCAGCCTTTTAAAGATAAAAAATAATGTATCAATCTAATTATGGTGAAATTTATTATATCAATATTGTGCTCATAAATATGACATTACAGCTTTCTCTAATTGAACTATTTTGCATGGAAAAAAAAAAAAAATTGTTTGGAAAGTAGGGCATGTTTGGTAAGTTCGGGATTTTTTGTTTTTACAATAGTATTTTTATGGAAAAATTGAGTGAGATCTGTTTTTAATTGTATAGGATCATCTAAAAATTATTTTTTATTTTTTATGTTTTAAATATAATAATTATGTATTTCCATAACTAAAAAATGTACAAACCACCACGTGGTAAGTCTGATCTATCAGTTAAATTTTTCAATATTATCATTACAAATTTAATTTTATAAAAAAAAAAATTTGAAAAAAAAATTTCTTTGATATCAAGTGTTTCAACAGAAGATTTTGTAGTTTCGTCAAACCACTAGTCGATCGGGCGAACGACCAACAGATGTCCGGCCGGTCAACTGGCCCATGCAAAATTTTTACAATTTTTCTTCTTGAGTTAGTCATCCAAGGGTCGATTGACCAGTGTAATTTTTTCATAAACTTTTATCTTGAGGTAATCATCCGGAAGGACATTGGGGAGACATTCGGTGGTAAAAATTTAACGGCAATGAACAGTAATTTGATGAAAGGTATATTGGTCTTTAGTTTAATGAAAGAAAAGTGAAATCTTATATTTGATACCGATTTGATGAAACCGTTGGAGTTGAAAAAGGAATCATTTTTCATCAAATTCAAATTTGATGATAAATTTGATATATGGTTGGAGATGGTCTTATAAGAGCATCTCCAAAGGTCAACTTCGTTTTTCATCAAATTTAAGTAAAAAATGACTCATTTCACCAAATTTGATATCACTAGCTCCAACGGTGAACTTTCATCAAATTTGCGTCGGGGCAACCGATTGGTCGATCGGTAAGGCAAAATTTTTTATTTTTTTATTTTTTTAATTGTTTGAACCTATAAATTTTGAACTGTTTGAACCTTTTAATGGTCGACCGGTTGGTCAACCGGCCGGTCGGTCAACTGGCTGGTTGACCAGTTGGTCTCTCCCAACGGTAACAAACAGTGATTTGCTGAAATCAATATTCTGTCCTCACTTTGTTGAATTGTTTGGTGAATTCTCAATTTGACATCGATTTGGTGCAACCGTTGGAGCACCAAATAGTAACTTTTTCACCAAAATTTAAATTTGATGACAGGTTTGGTGAAGCGTTGGAGATGGTTTAAGTCAATTTATTTATTCTATTTACTTAAAAAAAAAGTTAATTAATAGTATTTTATTGTAATTTAAATCATAACTTATTTGGTTTTTTTTCTTTAAAACTTATTTGGCCAAAATAATTAAGATTTTCTTTAATTCATTGGTTTTTTAATTTATTTGAAAGCTTTCAATGTGTTTGTACAAAAATCTTATATATTTTTTATGTTTTTAATGATAAATTTTAATGATATTCTAACTATTTTTACAACAAAAAAGTAATGTAACAACTTTTTAATTCTTTTAAGTTAATAATTTACAATTTTATAATTACAAAAATTAATTTATAATTGATGTGGGGGGTAAAGATTGTGTGAACAATATAAATATTTTGATTGGTGCAAAATAATAAGTCAACCATTCTAGACGGAGTTATTACATTTTTTTGGTATGAGATCTACATATTTGAGTCAATCATATCATCTATATTGTTTGTACACTAAAAAATGTGTGAATAAATTTATTTTTGCACTCAAATGTACTCACAAAAAATGGTGTGTCTTAGATTCAACTTGTATATAAAAAATAAATCAAAATACATGAAAAAAATTCATTGAATGAGACACAAGTGAGACAAAAAATGAGTGGCACGTAGGGTGGATCTTGTACATAGAGGTAGAATCCATCTTTTATTTCACATTTGTGTCACCAAATCAGCCTTTCAAAGATAAAAAAATAAAATAAAAATAAAAGACCCAATTTATTGCAGTGCACATTCTGGGTTATTAATTTTTATTTTTATTTTTATTTTTTTTGTGTGTGTGAATAATGAGGCCTTACACTTTTTTATTTTTTATTTTTTATTTTTTGTGGTTGAACGCAATGAGGCCTCATGCTTGAGAAGAAAAAATATGACATTAAATTTTTTTATTCAACTTTTATGTAATTGGGTCTTATTCTAAAATGAATCGAGATGACATTAATTTTTCTAGTTGAATCAGTATTCTCTATGGTCCACTTAGTGGAATGGATCATCTAGTTTTGTCCATGGATTTTACCACATATTCAGTTCAATTTTTAAATCTGTGTGCAATTCAATTATAAAAATATTAGATTTGATTCGATACTCATCTCATATGAGTTTATGGTATTAGTCTTCAAAATTGTACTTGTTGTTAATATTTTTAAAGGTAAAAATAATAAATTACTGTAACTATAATTATCAGATTAATTTTAAAAAAATCATTTACAATTTATGCATGAATAAAATAGATCATCAGAATAAACTTTATGGATTTATCATTGGACGGCCTATGAGAATATTATATGTTGGCGAGAATCCACTCTATTTTAATACATATGTAACATTGGTGAATGAGACGAGAGTGTGGATGGTGAGTAATCCATACTAGGCTTCGTTCGGCGAAATGCATTTATAGTAAAAAAAAAATTAAAAAATCATTATAAATTATCATATTATTATCTTTATCTTATTATAATTTTTTTGTAAAAAAATTAATAAATTAATTAAAATATTTAATTTCTAAATGGGCTTAAATGTGAAAAATTATTTGGTGGTCTAGGAGCGTCACAAGTTAATGTCCCTCACCAATCACCAATAATAATGCCTCCCGTTATTTTTCATGATCCAACACAAAATTATAGACTATGTCCTCTTTATCAATCACGACACAAGTAAAGACATCACGTGATCATGTCTTAAGATTATCAAATAATTTCCCAATGCGGAGAGACTTAAGCAAATTACAAGAAGTTTTGAGGCGTAAGTAGAGAGAGAGGGAATGAGGAAAGAAAACAACAAAAAAAACAAAAAAAGCACAATGAGGCATTTTAGGGAAGTCTCTTATGTGTGGATACCCTTTCAGTTCACACCCAAAAGGCCAAATAATTTTAACAATATTCATTTTTCTGCTCCAACAGATTCTTTTTGGTGATAGCACTTGTTTCTTTCTTTACGCAATCTCCCTGCTTCTAATTTTTTTATTTCTATGGCCGGCTGTCTCTTTTTCTTGCATTATTTTTAAGGTAAATTATATCAAAATTCCTTAATTATTAGTTAATATCAATTTACTTCATTCATTTACAAATCTGTATGTATTAACGTGGTTTAGAGGGAGTGAAACTAATATATTTTTAGGAAAATTATATTCATACATAAAAAAATTGACAGAAATGATGTAACAATAATATTATTGCAAATAAATATATCTATAATGATATTTTATTTTGAAGTGAAAGGTTTACATTGAATTACATTATTATATATATAAATTATGTATAAATTTTTTATTTATATAGTATTACTCATAAAAAAATTATATAAAAAAATTGACAGGAATGATATAACAATAATATTATTGCAAATAAATTTATTTATAATGATATTTTATTTTGAAGTGAAAGGTTTACATTGAATTACATTATTATATATATAAATTATGTATAAATTTTTTATTTA